ACTACTAAAGGAATCCGCTGCAATACTTTTTTTTTGTAGTGCAGGAGGACGGGTTTCTCGATTCAAAGCACAGTCCGATGCGAACTTGCCTTGTATGGACCTCATCGCGACATACATGCCGTTTGGACCAGGTATTTTCAAGATTTGAAAAAAAAAGCTGTTTATAGGGATTTTTTACAGGGTATGTGTACGTCAAATCCAAAGGTGATGAAAGAAATAATATATTCAATGATGTTAGTGAACAAACCGATAGAGTTATTGACAGCTTTTTGGTAAGTTTTATTTTCGCCCTCTCATTACAAATTTCCTTTCAAGCCTTCGCACTTTGCAGGAAATGATGTCAGAATTAGATTGGATGACGATAAAATCCAAAAATAAAGCTCGAGAAAAAGGTAAACTTTTTCCAGCATGTACAGTGCTGTTTAGAATTGCAGTTTTACAGCAAAAGAAATGAAGAAGAGCTATGGATGGCCAAAGGACCTTTTCGGCGATTTTATAGACTATAGCAAAATTGATGAGTACCATTATGTAAGAATGAATTATTGGTAATCTAGATCTCTGACAGCATAGTCATTGCAGCACGATTATAACGAAATTATTGATCGATACAAAAACAATAAGACTCATAACTACTATCAAATGAGAGCCATTATGATCAAGGGATACTCGAATCGAGAATCACTGCGTTTGATTAAAGAAAAACCGACAAGGTATGTCCCTTTACTATGCGAATTGGCATATCAAATGACTGAGTTTAGAACGAGGTTCATGTTATCTCCTGCTATAGTGAACGCTTTCTATCAGCCGGAATCGAACTCCATAACTTTGCCTTATGCAAACTTTAACCCACCATTCTACAAGTAAGAGATTTGATAGAAAATTCCCTCTGCTAAACTGTGTCTCTTCTAGCTATGCTCGCAACTCACCCCAAATCCAAGCTTATAACTATGCCGGTGAACATGCAATCGCCGGGCACGAATTAGTACATGGTTTCGATGACGAAGGTACATTTAATAGTGAGATACCGTACCTGCTTGATTTCCTTACAGGAGTTCAATTCGGTTCGGATGGAAGTTTGAGTGATTGCGGTTGGAATGAATGTGGGTGGATGGATGGTGCGTCAAAGGAAGGTTTCAAGGATATGGCACAATGCGTAGTTTCGCAATACAAGTTGAATAGCCTATGATCGTTGACCAATTTCGTTTTCCATTTCGAATCAAAATTTCAGCACTCAATGTTGTCCTCAGAAGAGTGGAACGACGATGTGTGCTAATGGTGTTACGACTCAAGGAGAAAATATCGCCGATCTTGGAGGTTCGCTCTATAGTATTCTTCTTGCTTTTGAGAGATACAAAACAATCAAATCGGCCATATCAATACACTTAGTAGGCGAGTCAACACACGCAGCAACAAGACGCGATTGCAGACATTATAGCCTAGGCCCAACTGGGCCGTTCGCGCGCGATACTTACACCCGCATGCGGCGTTAAGAAAGTGGACGAGTTACGTCACGTGATCAGTGGAGAATACGTAATCAGAAGTGTGTGATACATCTGTTTCAACAGTTATACACATATTGGACATGACGGATGTTGAACAGGCTTTGCTTGCGCGCTTAACTCCTACGGCTCTATGCCCTTACTCCGCCTTGTTCAAAACTGGCCAATCATAGCCGAGTGCTGACCAATCAGAGGTGCGCCGCTATGGCAAAGAGTTCGACCGTATCCCTTGATTGGCGCTGATCAAGCACTTTAACAGTATGCATTTGCATACATCATCGCTTTTTTCTGATCAAGCACTTTTCGTTTGCTACCTTTTCTAAACACGTGCTGTCTTGGTGGACGCAATTGCGACCACTCTCTGCGCACGACGGCTCGCCTATACCTCGAAGAATGTGAAAGTATGAAGTTATGTAAATTTTTTCAGGTGTACAAGCTGCATACAGAGCATTCCAAAACTATGCGAAAACGCTACCAAAAGAAGAACAAAGGTAAGCATTTTTGATTTTTTGGAAGTTTATAACGCAGATCCGATCGTTAAGACTACCCGGACTTGAGCAATATTCACCAAATCAACTGTTTTGGATTACACATGGTTTTGGTTGGTGCGAAACTCGTTCGGAAGAAAATATGATCAACCAGGTATGACACTTGCTCAGCTCTCTTTCAGACATCTTCACGTAGGTTAATAAGTACGAGCTTCAGCTTCTTACCAATGTTCACTCCCCTGGTATTTGCCGAGTCGAGCAAGTCGTGCAAGACATTCCGGCGTTCGCGAAAGATTTTGGCTGTACAATGGGTCAGAAAATGTATCCCACACCTGAGCAGAGGTGTAAAGTATGGGTTCAAGAGTAATAGTTCGGATTGCGATCGTTGGATCTCATAATTTGTCAAGATAACGTACTTTACTCAGATTTCCAAGAATTAAGAGCTTAGAGTAAGTAGACTTTTGAGGTGTTGACTTGATATGTGACTGTTTTGTTCTATCATTCTTCTATTATAAACAGTTTTGAGACATTCTGTCCTACTGCCGTTCTCAGGCAAATGAATATGCCAAAGGAGTAGACAAAAATTCTTTTTGGTTCATGTGTGATAAGACGAATTGCTAAATAAAAAATTATACGGATAGTTTTTGACTTATTTCTGAGCAAGCTAAACTTTGTTTCTGTTCTGTGTAGCACCTTTGAAGGCAGCGGCTCGGCAGAATGGCACATTCGGGATATTCATCGTTCTCGGTTCCCCTGGATTAAGTCCAAGACTGTGCTTTGCAGCTTCAAAAAATATCGATAACCCGCT